GCTGCTCCACAGGACAGAGAGGTGGCAGTTTCCTTCTGGAAAAATCTGTGACCCTAGAAATCCCACAGGCAGAGATGGCTCTGGCCATGTGTTCACCAAGTGTCAGAACCCACCCAGTGGCTTAGGACTTTCAAAACAAATCAAAGAGCTGCTTTTCCAGAATTAGTAAATAGCTAAGTCAGGTGCAGGGAGGGCTGGTCTGTCCTGTTGGGTCACAGTGTTGGACAGGAGGAAGTTGGGGTCTTAATGGGGGGAATCACCAGCTCTCGCATGCAGCCGCTAGTGGGTTAGAATTGTGGACAGACTGACAGCAGAGCCTTTCACCAGTGCACCACCACGGTTCCTTTCGTTCCGTTAAAGAGCTTCCAACAATTAAGAAACAACTACCATGAACTTTGGAGGAATCACTTTAACCGACACAGTTTCTGAGGTCTATGAGATGGACTGACTCAGGAATGAGGTGGGGGTGGGGGTGTCAGGGACAATGAAGTTGGTTCCGCATAGAGCAGGGTTCAGGGCTGTTGTGCAAAGGGTCGCTGTGAGTCAGAAGTGACTCAACAATACCTAACAACAACAACAACATGTGTCTGCAAGTGAGTGTAGCTGGAGACTCATCGATCTCAGGCAAGAGCTGCCTGGGAAACACAAGGTGTATGGGAAGAAAAGGGAAGCAACCTGATGCATGTTTTTACATTTCAAAAAATACTTGAGATGCTTTATTTTAAGAGTGGGTTTTTTTTAATTTATTATTTCGTGTGTGTGTGTGTACTATCAAGTCTGACTGGTACAGGGGGAGATTGCCGCCCCTTCTCTAGCAGGGCATCAGGTGGATTTGAACCATGTACCCCTGGGATTGCAGTGCAACTTCTTGCCACTAGGCCTCCAGAGCTCCCTAAGAGTGTTTTTTTATATATAATTGTGGGGTTGTGTGTTTTGCTAGAAATGGAGAGTAAGATTCCCATAGAAGAAGGAATAATCTCCAGGGAAGCGGAGTGAAGAACAGACTCAAGTGTCTGAACTGTAGGTCATTCTGAGTCTGTTGTTAGTATCATCAGCACAAAGCTTCACCCAGCTGAGCAATCTCCAAGGGCCAAGTGATCCCAAACCAGGCCAGGCCGAAGCACAGCTGGGCTGAGGTTAAAGCACAAAACTCAACGAAGAGGCAATTTTCATCGTCAGGCAAAAATAGAAAGCAAGGCCCACTGGAGGCCCAGACTGACCAGGTACAGCGTCCCGCCAGCTGAGCAGGTGGGCAGTGCCTCCCGGTGCACAGCTTGGCCACAGTGTGTTCTCTGGTGTGCCCGGGAGACGAGGGAAGGTAGACACGAGATCCAGACCTTCCGATCCTAGTGGGCCCCGTGGGCGGGTGCTGCTGCAGGTGGGAGGAGGGCACGATCAGCACACCTGGAGGCTGTGCCCACCTGCTGGTGCTCTGCAGGACGTGGTGCAGCCAAAACATAAAAGGTGGAAGAATGGAAGAGGGAAGAAGGAATTGAAGGCATGTACACAGAAGACTGAATAATGGAGAGAATGAAGAATGCAGTACGACACCGCAGAGCCAACAGCAGCAGTGGTTTGTGAGCTCCTGGATGATAACAGAACACCCAGAGGGAAGCAGCTGCTGGTTCTGGGGCCTCGGGACCACGGTCTTGAAGAATACCGAGGTCGATTGGCACAACGTGGTCCACAAGAACGGTGTTCAACGTGCTGCTGTGTTGACCAGTGACTGGGGTGGCAAAGCTTTTGAGCAGCTACTGAAGGCACAACTATTGGTCTTTTCAAGCCTGGACAGGAAGAAGGCAGGAGAAAGCAATGATGTGGAGAAACCACTAGACCAAAGGGCCAACAGTCCATGCACACCTCAGCTTCCATGACCCCTGGCCCAGCAGAGATAGATAATGTGGTCATTGCTACCAAACACACTGAAAGGGATCGCGGGAGAAGGTTCTGGCAGATTGCGCAAAATATGTGCAACAAAACTCAGAAGCAGTTAAAAAGCCAGCCTTCCTGATGTGATGATGCTTGCTAGACGCTGACACTGTGGTTCCATCACCCTAAAACCAAACTCACCGCCATGGTTTAACGTCTGGCCAAACGATAGAGGCTTGTATGGTGACCAGAGGCAGCCAGGCGGCTCTCATTCCTTGTCCCTAACTACATAAGGTCCAAAGGACAGCATTTGCCAAGAATGAAGTTTAAATACCTCAAGGATGACGTCAAGTTAGAAGGATTCATGGAAATGAGAATTACAGAGAGGAAGTGAGAATAATGTAAGTATTATAATAAATATTAGAAAACAAAATGTATGTATGTGATTAAATGGGAAAGTAATGTTTTTGAGTAAACATTTACACAAATCACAATAAAAGAAAAGAGAGACATTAGTTACAATTTACTAATCCCAACTGTTTTCTAGAAACTTTGAGTGGGGCTGAATATAATACAATGACATTAAATATAATCGAGTTTTAAAAAGCATAGGCAAAGTTGTCAAATAAAGAAACCAATATATGGACAAAATTGGAATTGAGAAAAGGAAACCAGACAAATATCACAACTAAAAGGGACAATAACAGAATGAGAAACACAGTGGGAACATTTAACAACTGACCTAATGAGGTAGAAATAAGAATCAGTAGAGGAGGAGAGGTGGTGGACACAGAGGCAGGAGCGTGGCAAGGAAAGACACTCAGGAAGGTTCAGCACAGGCTAGTGGGATGACGGGTGCCCTCAAGAGGCCCAGCATGGGCATCACAGGGATTCCAGGAGATTAAAGGCATAGACTATCTGAAGAAGTGATGACAGAAAATGCCTCAGGTATGATGAGAGACACAAATCTACAAATCCAGGACGCTCAAAGAACTATGTAATGATATCTACCCACGGGAGTCACCCTGAGACACGATTCAGTCACACACGCACATCTTAGGATAGCAATCCAGGTGGGTTGTTTTTTTGTTTGTTTGTTTGTTTGTGGAGTTTTTTTTAGAATTGGGGTACTGGAATTTTGTTGTTTTTGCCTTTGTGTATGGATTTACCTCATGAAATTAGATGCACCAGGACAATAGTTTAAAGACACCTGTGTTGTTGTTGTTACGTACCGTCAAGTCGCTTGCGACTCATAGCGACCCTATGTACAACAGCCCTAAACTCTGCTCATCCCTGTGCCAATCGCACTGTCTCTGACATTCCCATTCCCATTACCCCAGTCACTGAATCAGTCCACCTCATAGAGGGTCTTCCCCTCCTGCGCTGACCCTCCACCCTCCCAAGCATGATGTCCCTCTCCAAGGACCGGTCCCTCCTTACAACATGTCCAAAGACACCTGTAGGATGTGCATATTATGATGAAATCACATTCTGAACTTGTCAGAGGAAGTCAAGGCTTAAATGTATGTAGAGCCTCCTGCAAAGTGGCAAACTGCCCACCATCATCCAGATAAAGACCACAGCCTTCAATACGGATTGCACCTAAACATCAAGAAGGTGAAAACCCTCATCACTGGACAAATAGGCAACATCGTGATAGAGAAAAGACTGAAGTTGTCAACACTTGCATTCTGCTTGGATCCACACTCAGCGCTCATGGTAACATCAGTCAAGACATCCAAACACTTGTTGCGTTAAAGAAATCTGCTGTTGAGGACCTCTTTAAAGTCTAAAAGAGCAAGGATACTAGTTTAAAGACCAAGATGTACCTGATCCAAACCATAGTCTTTCCCACTACTTGCTATGCATCCAAAAGGTGGAGTAAAGATTACAAAAGAGGAATCCGTGCCTTTGATCAGTGGTGCTGGAGAAGAATACAAATGTGCTGTGGACTGCCGAGACAAGTCTGTCTTGGAGAAGGTGCAAAAAGGGTGCTCCTTAGAGGCAAGGACGGTGAAACGTTGTCTCTCATACTGTGGACGTTATGCTGAGAAAGGTGAAGGGTCAGAGAAAGAGAAGACCTTCAGCGAGATAGACTGACACGTGTCTCACTGAGCTTGAGCATGTCTGATGCTGTGATGATACAGGAGAGATTTCAGGTCTGTGGTTCACACGGTACATGGAGTTGTCAACTTGAAAGCATCCTGCAAATCAGAACTGACCCATAGCTGACCCCCCAGCGGGTTTTCAGAGGCAGTGAGTTGCACAGGAGGGGCTATAACTCATCTGGATTCTGAAGCGTAGCTGATGAGTGCAAACCACTTACCTTTGTAAATGCAATTCCTCTCACTAAAGCTCCCGTTGATGGGTTGAATCAAACCCTGACCAATAGAGGGCAGGTGGCCCATTGGTAGCTTTCCCCCTCCCCGGCTCCCGCATGGAGTGATCTGTAGGGAGAGGTGGCAGTTCAAATCCACCTGTAGCTCAGGATAATGGGCAGTATTCCTCCTCTGCGTTTTGTCGTGCTGTCAGGTTGCCAAATCATAGCTGACCCTCCAGCGGGTTTTCAGAGGCAGTTAATCACATGGGAGGAAATTTCCCATCCTGGATTCAAACTACATGCTTTCGGCATTGCAGTGCAGCCCCTTTACCACCAGACCAACAGAGCCTCTATGAGATTTACAGCCTCTAAAAGCCCACTTGAGTGTCTATTCTAAGTTGATGGCAGTGGCTTTCCTGTTGCCAGTGTTTCCTGGCCAAAGTCCCAAGCTGCTGACTAAAAGGCAGGTGATTTTGGGGAGAAAGAGGCTTCACCTGGAGAGCTGCAGGGGTCCTCCTCTGCCCCACGGGGCACTGTGAGCAGCCTGGACTTGAAGGCAGTGGGGCTTCAGCTCTGTCTCCTGGAGCTGGGTTCTGACTGGACATGAGTTCGTAACAACAGCTACCCCGCTGACGACTCATCTCCACAGCTGGCCTTCAGCCCCACAGCCCAGACCCCAAGCCGGGGGAGGTGGGAAGGAAGGTCCCCTCGAGTGGTGGGTTTCCCCAGTTGTCTTTTGTTAGGATCTCAGAAGAGGAAAGGCCCACAAACCGTGTGTCCATGATTCTGTGTCCGTTTTGTGCCCCCACAGCCTTGAGCGAAGAGACCAGCCATTTCGAAAAACGGAAGCTGTTCGTCCTCCTCTCCACGGTGATGACCTGGGCTCGGTCCAAGCCGCTGGACCCCGTGAGTAGTATGCTCACTTCTTGTCCGCGTTCCTCGGCCCCTGCCAACCCTGGACGTGGAAGGAACTTCTGCCAGGGGTTATGTGTTCTTACCGTCCTGCTTCAGCAGCGTTCGCTGACGCTTAAACACCAGCACTGTCTAAGGGCCATGGCTTCAGACGGCCCTACAAAGAGGGGGACACTCTAGTGGTGGACTGCAGTGTGTGCTGGACTGCTAACTCAAAGGCTGGTGGTTCCAGTCCACCCCCGGCACCGCGGGAGGATGATGGGGCAGTCTCTTCACGTAGACTTCGAGCTTTCGAGACCTGGTAGAGGGTCGTCAATAGGTGCCCAGATCACTTGGGTTTTTGGTTTACTAAACTCAAACCCTGCTTTCTTGCTACTTAGACTTTTAAATTTTAAATATAGGGGAAGAGCTCTCGCCTGTAACTGTTGTTTTGTACTGTTGCATCAGAGCCAACTCCTAGCTGACCTTCAGAGGATTCTCAGAGGCAGTAAATCGCACGGGAGGAGATTGTCCATCCTTCTCCCGCTCAGCTCCTATAGCTGGTTGGACATATGTTTTTATTACATGCATTTCTTGTGCATGCGTTAAAAGGGGAATAGAAGGGGAAAAAAAACCAAACAAAAAACCCAGAGGGTACAGCATTTATTCCCCAACATCTCTGTTCAGAGCCCACCCCTCTGACCCAAGCCAGCATTCTCATCCACATGATAGCTCAAAACAGAGCTGAGTCCCAGCATGTCCTGAAACCACATGCTTAATTTGCCATAAAATGTGGATTTCTAGTCATCCACATTTGCCTAGTAGAAAGAAGGTCTGGTGGCCTAGAGGCTAGCAGCTGCACTGCAATCCTGAAGGCAGGTGGTTCGGGGCCACCAGCTGCTTCCTGGGGGAAAGATGAGCGCTGTCCTCCCATGTGATTAACCACCTCTGAAAACCCAGGAGAGGGTCAACTATGGGTCAGTTCTGACAAGAAGAAGCCGTGCCGCAGTCTCAGAGGCACATGGTTCAAATCCATCAGATGGACAATCTGTTGCAATTAACTCTGAGAACCCACTGCAGGGCCAGCTCTAGTCGGTTCGCACTCAGCACATGGCAGCGCCCGTCTGTGTTGGCAGCCCTGCCCTGTACTTGTACACACCCATCCTCCTCTCTCCCCTCCGGCGCTTGTTATACTTGCAAATGTTGAGCCTTCCTCCTGTCTAACCCTTGTTGTTAGAAATGGTTTTCATTTCTCCATTGACCAGCTGCCATTGAAATGACTCCCGCTCTTCTTGGCCCATGTGTGTCAGAAGAGTGTGTACTTCACAAAGGTTTCTACAACGTGTGCATGGTGTTGTGCCGTCAACTCAGAACCTGCTCATAGCTGACCCTCCAGTGGGTTTTCAGAGGCTGTAAATCACACAAGAGGAGATTGTCTGTTCTTCTGCTGCAGAGCAGCTGGTGCATTCGAACTGTGTGCCTTTGGGGTTGCAGTGCAGTTTCTTACCATTGGGCGACCTGAGCTCCCTAATATAGGTAATATATACAAAATATTATCTATGTCTGTAAGAGGTATTTGTTGTTGTTTGTTGTTATGTGACGTCGAGTCACTTGTAACTCATAGCGACCGTATGTACAACAGCCTTAAACTCTGCCCTGTCCTGTGCCAATCGCACTGTCTCTGACACTCCAATCCCGATTATCCCAGTCACTGAATCAATCCACCTCATAGAGGGCCTTC